AGGAAGGAAGTGATGGCCGTGTTACATTAATAAAGAATGCTAATATATAAGAAACGTTTGCGCCTATGGAATCTCTCACGCAGACAGTGTCATTGATTTCGAAATATATCCATTAAGCTTCCTTTTATCTATCGAAGTCGACAGTTTTGAAAGGTTATATGCATTTCTATACTATAAGAAAGAAAAACCTAAAACGATAAGAAACACAAATTTGATCAAATTAAACACTGGTATTGCAAATTGAAATGATCATAAGAGCGATGGTTATTTATCTTATTTAACCACCTCTAGATAAGTAGTTAAATTTCAAACCTTTAAAACTAAACGGGTCATCGTAAGTTAGCCCATTGCCATCACAATTATGTTTTGCAAAATGGCTGTACGTCAGGTTTTTCATATTTATATATAGCACTCGTCATGTTGTAAGAATGTATGTATCTTGCAGTATCATTTAAATGTAAAATAATCCAAAGTCATCTACTGTTATTTTTTTATATTTGTCATTTACTTTATTTTATCAGGAACGTCTGCAGTCCCTGAATGCGTAAATGGTAAGTTAGCCCATTGCCTATCAATTTATTTATTACAATTATGTGTTGTAAAATGGCTGTAATTCAGGTTTTTCAGCACTCGTCATGTTGTAAGAAGAATGCTGTTTTACTATTGTGGTGTTGACAATAGATAGTGGTACGTGGATGATGATGGTCAGATAACAAAATTCGTTCTATTTTCATGTTATTTCTCGGATTTTCAGAGCTTCTATAAAATGAAAGTTGAAAAAACGTAACTTAGAATTGCCTTTTCTTTTCAATTTTAGCTGCAAGGATTGCCATTGAAGAAAAGAGAATGGTAAGCATTTCTATAGCTACGTACATAACAAATGTGACGTCTTATTCTTCAATTGTCTCCCTTTATAGTAAAACACCTATATTAAAATGATATTGGAGAAGTAACGTGTGTTTTTATTATATGTACTGTGTGCTCAACAGACCAATATGTAATGAAACAATGAAAACTTTCAGAGAAATATCCGGATTTGAAATATCTTTTTATTGCGTATTAATAATGTTTTAAGGTTTGAAAAGCGATGGCGTTTTTTTTTATACGTTTTCATTCCTTAAATTGCAGGCGGACTTAAAACAATGGCCACCAACTGGATAAAATCAACTAGTCTGTCAGTTGACGAGATTGACAGGTCTGGAAATATAACACGATGAACACAATGTCTCCAGATGGGAAAAATAGGAAATATATAAATGCATGCATATCTTTTGCGAGGGTTAGTCTCAATGATTTGAAAATTCCAACACAGCGCAACTGATTGAAATGTGAAAATTCTCCTTACCGCACTTTTTTTTCTGAATATTGAAAATTAAGATATTTTCACATGATTACGATGTTTTTCAGTGAATAAACTTTTGTGAAATAATGTTATGAACAAAAATGTATGGTGACGTCATCAAAAATTGATTCAATGCACCGCCTGAATATAACCTTTGAAATTATATTGAAACTTAACTTTCAGAAATTCATAAGTGTTAATCAAAGAAATTAATGTTTGCCATCATTGAAAAACTATTTATTTTCTGAAGATATTCCATTTATAATGAAGTCGGCAAACATCGGCCAACATCGGAAAACTTTAAAAATGGTTTTAGGGTGAAGTGTTTTGTCCTGTTTAGTTGTGTATGTTTGATTTAATATAATTTGAAGCTTTTCTATGTCTCCCTTACCCCTTTTTCAATAAGACTCGTTAGATTTCTGCGTGGTTGACAAAACACACGCGGGCCACAATATCATTATTTTTCGAAATTGACATAGGAAGAGATTGATGTATTGTATATTTAGATGATGTATCAAGATCATCATGGTACTTTGAGAACATTACTTTTGATAATTTGATGTCAAGACAACTCACTTTGACACTTCATTCAACTATCGAAAATGGACAAAATTGGTCATCTATATCTGATATAATTTGTTGTACGAATATTTTTTTCCTCCATTAACCATGAAAAATGGAGTACAAAAATTTGAATTTCACGGCAATATTGAATATGAATAAATGCATTTAAAAAAAAAATGTATTTCTGGAAAGAATGCTTGTGATCTTCAATGTTTGACCAATTTGTCGGTATAAAAAAGTAAATGGTTTGCAAAAAGTTAATAAAATCATTACTATCTTCATATTCCGTCTTTGAGTATTGCAGAGTTGTCTTCTCTTGATAGTAGGTATTAATTGTTACGTCTTTTGTTTGTGAATGTAACGACGTATTTTTTTCAAAAGACGGAATAAAAGGTTTTTGTAATTTAATTTGACTTTGAACAGAAAGCGCCCCGGTGGAGTGTACTTATAAAATAGATTGAAATTTGAAAAATATGCGGTAAAAGTTCATAGAAATTTGGGAAACACTTCACGCCCGTGTGTTGAAAATATAAAAAAAAAAATCACTTCCAAAAAAATGTGTATTATACATGGATTACCTAACAATAAACATATATAAGCGATGTTTACCTATTATGTAGCAAATGAGTTTTTTTTGTTATTTCATTATTATACCACTTAACCCAATAAATATAACGCACTGCATGATAAGAAGTTGTTCGTCTTTTTTGCTGTCATCTCATGTTTTGTAAATGGAATATCAATAGCCGTGTAAGATATGCGAAAGATTAAAATCTAGCATGTGATCCAGAAAATAATAATCCTTTAATTTTTTATCATGTCTTTCTAAGCTAAAACGATCAGCTTCATGAAAAAAAACCTATACATATTCCTGTATAATTTTTATAAGAAATGCGATAATATATTAACCGAAAAATAACATTTGAATATGAGTATACATAGAATAGATCCGGCAATAAGAAATTGTTCACTTTTTAAGTGTTTGATTTGACCTAGATTTGAATGCTGAGTAGCGTCGATAAAGCGGAAGACGCATACCCTTCCGTAACCCCTGGTCATATTCTCTTTGTATCTGTATATAAATCCGCCATTTGTTCATAGTTTGCCCTAGTTTTATCGAATTTTTGTTCAAGTAATGACTTTGTTGACACTTAAGCATTCTGTTGGTATTGTTGTTGATTTGTTTTCTATATAAATGACGAAGTCTTTTATTTATAAATTGGATTTATTTACTGAACCTGAACGCTGCTTCACACAGATATATGATAAGTTTTGTAAGTAAATAAACAATCAACAAAGCAATTATAACTGAATAAAATGACACACTTCATATTTATCAATAAAGATTCGTTATTATAAAAAAAAAATTCTTTAAAAAATAACACCATACGTGAAACAATCTAGAAAATGTATTTCAAATCAATTCCATGGTTGCTATTATTAAAAATTGTTCGAGACATTTGTTCAAATACCAATTAAAATTAATTAATTATTCAATTAATATGAATTGTTATAATCTGATGAGACAATGGATGATTCAATAAACCTCACAATTTTATACAAAATAATAAAAAGGGAGGTTCCACTATATTAAACAAACAAGAGGCCCATGGGCCTTAACGGTCACCTAAGTCCTACAGTATTTATTTTTGTTGTTGAAATATGTACCAATTTGAGTAAAAAATAGTTAAGTATAATGTTCACTTAACATTGTCAGGACCATGAGCTGATCATTCCTAGGCCGATTTTCAGTGAGATCGGCCTATTAGAACTTGTTTTTAAGTTTGAAATAGGTATTTACAAAATAGCGGCCATGGCAGCCAAATTGTACACTTTGTCAGGACCATGATTCGATCATTCCTACAAAGTTTCAGTTCAATCAGCCAAGTAGAACTTTACTTAAGTTTGAAATAGTTTTTTCAAAATGGCGGCCGTGGTGGCCATATTGGATTTCTGATTGACCTGAAAAATAACAACACTTTGTCAGGACCATGAGGCGATCATTCCTACCAACTTTCAGTTCAATCGGTCCAGCAGAACTTGACTTTAAGTTTGAAATAGGTTTTCAAAATGGCGGCCGTGGCGGCCATATTGGATTTCTGATCGACCCGAAAAATAACAACACTTTGTCAGGACCATGAGGCGATCATCCCTACCAACCTTCAGTTAAATCGGTCCAGCAGAACTTGACTTTAAGTTTGAAATAGGTTTTCAAAATGGCGGCCGTGGCGGCCATATTGGATTTCTGATCGACCCGAAAAATAACAACACTTTGTCAGGACCATGAGGCGATCATTCCTACCAACTTTCAGTTCAATCGGTCCAGCAGAACTTGACTTTAAGTTTGAAATAGGTTTTCAAAATGGCGGCCGTGACGGCCATATTGGATTTCTGATCGACCGGAAAAATAATAACACTTAGTCAGGACCATGAGGCGATCATTCCTACCAACTTTCAGTTCAATCGGCCCAGCAGAACTTGACATTAAGTTTGAAATGTAAAATGTTAACGGACGACGGACGACGGACGACGACGGACGAAAACGGATAGCAATAGGTCACTTGAGCTAAAGCTCAGGTGACCTAAAAATAAAATGACAAACATGATTTTAACGGATGCTGATGTGGGTCTGTCCAAAATTACCACAACCCGTTTTCACGAACGCTAATTCAAATATTACATGCAAAACAATTTCGCTGGGGAATTGTTACCGCATAAATGGCGGATATTACTAAAATCATATATGTTTTTATAGGGATATGTTTTCTCCGTATTCATACATTCATTCAATCATTCTCAACAAAAAATAGTTGTCTCACAATAACAATATGAAGTAAACTCACAAACATTTTCTTTAAAAACGACAAATAAGAATGATTGTCGATGAGCGTAACGTTGATTGACTCGACTAGCATTTAAATAAATCTTATAGCATAATAGTATATAATGTGTAATAGTATCTTAGTAGTAAGCATGATAAACCCAGTTTATTTTCAATATACATACTTTACACTAATTGTTGGGTAGTTGTTCAGGATTGATCAAATTAAAGTTAAAAATTACCTATAATCTTACCTTTACGAAAGACATGTTCTTTTTTTTTAGTTTAAAGACGGAAAGTACAGATTTATTTATAATGATTCAGCTTTTTATAACATATTTACTATTTACAGGATATTATTTGCTTAATTCACACATCAATTCGCTTTCAATGCTTAATCAACTGCCACGTTTACAACGCTTTATTCATTATCAGGACACCCTCTTAAGTAAATATATGATAGATATGGAGCCTTTCTATACCATACCATACCCAGTGTCATTGACCCACATTATATGATAAAGAAACATGAAGCACTCTATATATTACTATATATGATATTATCTGGCCTTGACTCTAGAATTCAACCAATCACTGATAACGTTCAAATTTTCATTCATCCACCGGATATTTGCCTCCGTTTTCTCCAGAGCTTGTTTGAAAGCTTGCGCGCCAGAACTCATTTCTGGATGATTCCTCTTGAATTGTAGCAGCTGTAAGAAAATAAGTTGTAAAGGGATCAGATACATTTTGAAGTATTGTTTTCCAACAAGTTCGTCAATCGACTTAAATTTCTTTCGAACTGTACCTCTTATAAACCTCCTCAATATTTATTTATATATAATTATTTTAGTTTAAGAAATCAGAAGGCGTTTTGTACGTTAACGTAACATATTATATAGAGTCAATTACGTTGAAAACTTAAAAACACTATGTGTTATATTAAATATGATATTATTGTATCTATAATGTCAATGTAATTACCTAAAGGAATCTGTTATATCGTATTTGAAAATATTGTAGTTACCAAAACAATAATTTCCTCTAAAAGTATTCCGTCTTTGCGTATTGCAGAGTTATCTTCTCTTGTGAGCAGGTATTGATTGTTACGTCATTGGTTTGTGTGAGAAAATTACGTCGTTTTCTCAAAAATTGATGACGTTACTCTCACAAACAAGTGACGTAACAATTAATATCTGTTCCCAAGAAAAGATACCTCTGCAATACGCAAAGACGGAATAGACGGAAAGCAGTGCTGAACTCTCTTGTTTCACTTTTCTTGTCTGGGTTTTTATTATTCCGATTAATTAACCTGACTTTGCATACAAGGTTGTCTTCAAAGCTATGTTAGTTTCTTTCATCGTAACCAAAGGTACTTATAAATACACGGGGAAAATATGCTTGCTTTATCCATAACATAATTGTAGATACTATCAAGTCTTCAAAGATATCAAATTAAAATCACACATGCAAACTCATTGTTACATGTAGATAGTAACCAAGGTTAATTATAAAAACTGTTTCGTTCATTACCCCATTTAAAAACAATGTTGACGTGGACTCTTCACGTAGAACACTTAAAAATAAGCTAAAGGTGAATAATAAAATGTGACATAACATAAGCATTGTATAACTACGGATATACAACGTTCATTAAATCTACAGTGGTGTGACATACCTGATCCATGTTGAATTCGGTGTTAAATGATCGCGTTATCCCCTTTATAATATTTGCAAAAGAAAACTGCGCCTGTCCAAATCTGAAATAAGAGATACTAAATATACAGACAAAATCATAAACACTATGTCGTTTAACTCGTCGACATAGTTTACGTTTATTTATTAGGGCGAATCATAAAAAGAATTGATACATCACTTGCTGTCTCAACATCAAACGCGTGATTTATCTAACTAAAAACTTTGTGAACCACTTTGAGACGACCTACGAACTAGGTTGTTATAAAGGGGTATATAAGAACCTCAAATTATATAATTATTATTAAAAACTTACACAATATGTTATGTTTTTTTATGAGGCAGTTATTATGATTTTTCACCTGTAATTGTCCACTCATCATCCACACACAAATAGCCAGATTCAGAGATGTTCTAAATGATGTGCTTATTAAAAAATGTTTAGAAACCTGATATATTCCGATTTTGTTGACATACAAACCCAACACAAGTGTTCAATGTCATTTGTGCATGCGTAAATACAGGCATAATGAGACTGAAAGGTGATCTGTTTATCACTCAAAATACCTATAAGAGGCAGCAACATTCAGTTACTAATGCTGTCCTTAGTGATATACTTGGTGAAGAAGGAAAAATGATATGAAAAGTCGCTGACCAAAAATGAAATAATTACATTTACTTAATTAATTTACAGTAATTAATTTATACTAATAAATATTAAATAAGGTAGGTATTTATGCTGTTATCTAGATAAATGACTAAAACGTTTGTGTATGGTAATAATAAAAGAATAATTATTTAAGTTCTGTACATATTTGTTTACATCCGAGTTTGATGACAGATTATATCACATTGTTAATAGTTTCGTTTCATTAAGGGGCCCTGTTGCATTTGAAATATTAAGATCAGGAGAAGATAACTTAGATTGAGATAAAAATAATCTATTTTATAGGTAGATCTGAAGATTAACGAAACAACAGGATTTTCACCTGTTTTCATGTTTTACATAGAAGTTGATCAACAATTTCATTAAGCGCTACATTCAATGTAACTTCATGTTTCCTTCTCTTTTCATTTTTAGCTGTTTACATGTATTCCTCGTTTGTATGTTGGAGCTCTAGTCCTGTCCAACTGTTGTATAAGCAGTGGCCTGTTCGTATATCAACTTGGTTACGATTGTATATACGAATAGACCATTACTTATCCAATGGTGATTCAACCCCCCAATGACAAGCTTGTGTATACGGAAAACAAACAACTGGTAACACAATGGATGACGGATTTTAAAGTAATGAAGTCGGTATTCTTGTAGCTGGTATTTATTCCTGCATCCTGAAATATTTGTATCTAAAGATGGAAATTAGTAGCATTACAAAGGGTTACATAGGCAACTTGTAATATACCAAGTATTTCTTAATCTATTCTGGAAAACATTAGGGATATATTTTTATCCAAAGTACCACTAATGAGACCAACTTGGACGAAATGGCCATATATCTGATTAGAAAACCAATCTCTCGCTTTGTTCTTTTGTCATTGACGTGGCAAGTCTTCCTTAAATCTGTTATTTCTTCGTATTTCTAATGCGTATTTTACACATGAAGGACGAGATTAACACTGGGCGAATATGACCAATACCGACAAAGGAACACTATTGTGTAGGGGTTTTATATGGTTGTACGTCCTGTCAACAGCTATTTTATTTAAGGACGTGATTTTTGTGCGGGAAAAAAATCCTTGTATACTTATATTTGGTTGACATAAACTGATGTGTACGCATGATTCCAATATACGGTTTCATAATTGATAGGTGTGCCAGGAATTTTCTCATACGTTTATCTTAATATGCGTGAAGCAAAATTATTCCGTGTTTCTTTGGGGTTCTTTAAAACAAGAAAACGTTTTCAGGTCACCTATTCCTATGACTATCAATATGTTTTACTGTTAGGAACCAATTTTTGGGATTCATTATAAGCATGCCTTATTATAGAACGGCAACGCTTTTTGCGCAGACCATTGTGTCGTTACAATTGAAGGGACGGCCTTAGGAGAAACTTGACATACTCTATCGTAAACAGTAACATCGAATTAACATCACCATTAATCGACGTCCTATTGATTATCAACCCGCCAATGGGGATGAAGTATACAACTGTGTTACCTAATATTACAATTGGGTGCCTTCTACATCGATACATAGGAAAAAGGCAGTTTTTAAAAAATATACTCACTCTCCAATAAGGTAGTCCCATTTAGCACTGATAAAGTTCCAGGTAAGGTCCCGGCCTGCTGATTGCCCGGCAACATACGATATCACGGACACTATGTCCTGTTTCCGGATCTGTTTGGGGTCCAAACTGAGGGACAGGTACCTAAACGGAACACATCGGTAGCATTAATTATATATTGAGTTGATATAAGAGTAAATTTTTAATTGACGGCCAAATGTTTTCAGAATGACCTAAATAATGTTTAGTATATATAAGTTTTTATTTCTGTCTAGAATGTCAATGTTAATGGGTAGGGATAGCCAGCTACATGCACAGCCCATATCTTAACAAAGTAATGGGGTAATTGCTGGCGAAGTAGAGTGTCAGAATTTGTTACGACCCAAATGAGAAAGGTTTTTTTATGTTATCGCAAAGTCAGTGGTGCGAACCCGAAACAGATATGATAAAATATAGATATAAGTCACCACTGCAATGTCAAGGGTAATGATTTATCCATAAAGCGTCTTAAAAACCGAAACTTGAAAAATAAATCAGGGTCATATACATGTTTTAGTTTGAATAATTGTTACAGTTGAATGGTTAAACCGCCATTACCTTGACCTCATTTATTCATTATGCCTCCTTTTAATTCAAACATCAAGGCCCTACTTTGCAAACTTATTTGAAGGAGACATTTTTTTTTGACCTTTGCAACCACTTCTTGGTCCTAAATTGAGGAAATGACCACACATTATGACCCCATAGGGCAGTAACATATTGACTTTGTCTGGCTCTTTGCATCAATTCACAAAATGTTTGATAGATGTTTCCCTGATTAATACCCATTAACTTAACTCACTTGCTTAGTATCCACGCTTTCTTAGTGCACGACAGCGAGTAGAGGATGCGCTTCTTCTCGGCAGCGTTGTTGCTCGTCTTGTACTGGCTATTCAGGAAGTCCCATTCCTCCGCTCCACCTTCCGCGATAGCCGTACAGTACACTGCCTGCTTGATATCAGGGTCTATCCTGTGTGTTTTATAATTTCACGAAAATAAAATCAATAAGTTAAGAACTGAAGGAGACTCGGAATCGTTGAGCAACAAGGTCTCGAGTAGTGTACATCGTTGAACAGGTAGGCACAGGTTTGCCTCCCGACTTGGAGGCAACGCTAGGAGAAAGTTTTGATTATCTGCTTCATAGTAACGTAACAAAACTGTACATGATAACATGTGACGTTATTTAATGTCAGTCTATTTCTAAGAATTCGGATTCTCCTGTTCATGACCGAAGAGTAAGTAGTTCAGGCTGATAACATAGTCATATTTGTTCCAGGTAAAAGTGGCTGATTATCAAATGAGTGGATCATTAGGACACTTTAATAAAAAATACTACCGGGGTTAATTATGTCCCCTAAACTCTGATAAGATATCGAAGTAGACACTTTTAGGTGACTGGACCACGTATTTCGACAGTATACATATTTGTAATCTGGATAGACGTATACTGCTTATTTTTGCAGACAGAAATTGACGCCCGTACCTTGTACAAAATACAAATCCATGTAATAAGTTAAAATACTATCAGCATAATACTTTTAGAATTAATTTGATTTTCGTACAGACGAATCTTAATCTATGATATTCATTTCTAACGGAAAACCTACGTGTTATCCTGGCTATTGTCCATCCATGCTTTAAACAAGGTTTTGGCCGTGCTGACACAAGACTCCACGTTATACCTACACGCTAGACCGGTCAGCAAAATACGAAGCATTCTGTGGAAAGTTAAAATACAAAAAATATATATCATAAATAAGAACTCATTATGAAATGCACTATTTCAAAATCAGAGCAAAAAGCCGATAATGTGAACATTTAGTTTTCTAGATAACGGCAGTTGAAACGGAAATTAATAAAGTAGCAAAAATGAATAAATCTACAGTATAGTAAGTGGTACTTACTTTCTCGTATGACCTTCAGTAGTGGTAGCGTTCATTCCTATGGTTTGGAACGGTTTAGTAACAAGTGTCTTCATAACGTTTTCATACTTCCCGTAGACACTAGACATCATAAGCATTTTTGATACGTAGGAAAACTGATTCGAAGCAGCCCGCCAGGGGGCGTATTCCTGTTCATTCTCCAGGTATTCAATTGTCTGAAGAGCTGTCAAGAAATCCAATTCTCCTGCCCTAGATTGAATTGAAAATCCTTTAATGTAATGTTTGGTAAATGCCAATAATATGTCTGGAAGAAATACAGCACCGTTTAATGTTATTTGATGTAAACTAATGAAATTGGGAAACTATATCAACTGGTATGGATTTAAAATTAAGTAATATAGTAAGCATAACATAACAACGTTCCTACTGACTGTGACCCAAATTATTGTAACATAAGAAAATTATCAATATCTTGATCATTCAAATAAAGAATAACAAGAATTGCGAAAAGGACGCGAGCAGAACTATGTTAGAAATATGTGCGGAAATACATGGAGGTGAAAGTGTATTTAATGGAAACACTTACTTTGACAAACTCCATGCATCGTTGATGATTTGTCCTCTATTGATAGTATGAATGACCTACAAAAATGGAAGATTCATATAAATGAACAGATAACAAAATGTTAGAAAATTGAAAATTCCACCTAACACCGCAAAGTAACATCTTCATATGCACTCTCTGTCATATCCAACGGGTACAAATGGAAAACTGGTGATATTTGTCTATCTAAAAAGAAGAAGATCAATCGGTCGGTTGGCCAAACATATATAACGTAAGTGTAAAATGTACCTAGTTAAAGACAAAATTGAAAGTGGAAAAGGACTGTTTTCATGTGATACCCTGGCATGATTCTTCACCATAACATTTACATTACGTAATACTGTTTTCTAATAAATCTTTGGTACAACTTCAGTTTATCAATTCAGTCATTATTGTATACAAGGGCCTTTCATCGTAGTTTAAATCTCGCTTGATTCATCTTCCGTTATGAGGGCAAATTTATCATGATTGCAAATATATCAATACACATCATATTATACGTTGTCACCTTATAGCGGTAATGGACTTTGCAATTCATCGGCGATCAAATAGCTAAATTGGTAGAGCATCCGACTTTTTTTGAGTTTTGAGGGTCCCGGGTTCAAGTCCCGGTCCAGCAGCGATTTTCCTCTCCTGTTACAATTACACCTGAAGAGCGAAAGTTTGACTGGGCGAATCTATATATCACCAGTGTAAGGGAGAATATTTGACTGGGCAAATAAATATCTCACCAGTGTAAGGGCAAAAGTTTGACTGGGCGAATCTATATATCACCAGTGTAAGGGTGAACATTTGACTGGGCAAATATCTATCTCACCAGTGTAAGGGCGAACGTTTGACTGGGCAAATATATATCTCACCAGTGTAAGGGCGAACATATATCTCACCAGTGTAAGGGAGAAAGTTTGACTGGGCGAATCTATATCTCACCAATGTAAGGGCGAACGTTTAACTGGGCAAATATATATCTCACCAGTGTATGGGCGAAAGTCTGACTGGGCGAATCTATATATCACCAGTGTATGGGCGAAAGTCTGACTGGGCGAATCTATATCTCACCAATGTAAGGGCGAACGTTTGACTGGGCAAATATATGTCTCACCAGTGTAAGGGCGAAAGTTTGACTGGGCAAATATCTATGTCTTACCAGTGTAAGGGCGAAAATTTGACTGGGCGAATATATATCTCACCAGTGTAAGGGCGAACATTTGACTGGGCGAATCTATATCTCATCCGGGGTAAGGGCGAACATTTGACTGGGCGAATCTATATATCACCAGTGTAAGGGCGAACATTTGACTGGGCGAATCTATATCTCACCAGTGTAAGGGCGAAAGTTTGACTGGGCGAATATATATCTCACCAGTGTAAGGGCGAACGTTTGACTGGGCAAATATATTTCTCACCAGTGTGTGGTCGAACGTTTGACTGGTCAAATATATATATCACCAGTGTAAGGGCGAACATTTGACTGGGCGAATATATATCTCGCCAGTGTAAGGGCGAAAGTTTGACTGAGCGAATATATATCTCACCAGTGTAAGGGCGAACGTTTGACTGGGCGAATCTATATCTCACCAGTGTGTGGTCGAACGTTTGACTGGGTGAATCTATATCTCACCAGTGTAAGGGCGAACATTTGACTGGGCGAATCTATATCTCACCAGTGTAAGGGTGAACATTTGACTGGGCGAATCTATATCTCACCAGTGTAAGGGCGAAAGTTTGTTAGTGTGTTTGTTTATGCTTGAACATTCAATCAACAACTATGGTCATTTACAGCTAACATGTCTTATATCATTGGACGACCAGAGAAACAGTTACTGGACAAATAAAGTTATATGCTGACTAGGATGTTTGCAAAATTTCGTTGTTGTTACTTGGGGAGATGTTGTTAGAAATAAACAAAAGACCATAACCCTTTTATATCGACGTTAACATCTTGACGGTCACACAATTTATGTAATTAGCAAGATGTGAACCATGATCTATTAAAATCGGTTATAATCCTACTTGAGCATGGTGTGAGATAACGTACGTTGCAGACGGACGGAATGAAGTAGGTTTAGATGAGGATGTCACATATATACAAGTTCGGTAATACGTTTGTAAGTTTTCATATATTTTATGCGTTCCACGAGTATTTAAATGGATAAGAACTGACAGGGAAAGTGTTTCGTCAGACATACAGGCAGACAGACGGACAGACAGACGGACAGTCAAAATTCTTTCCCCTGATTTCAATATGAGGATTTAAGGGATGGGAGTAAAATAAATAAAAATAAATGAGGGCAGCCTAACATAACAAATAAATTATTGACTACAGACTAAAACCTAGATCCTAATAAGCAAAAGGAGCACGCATTAAAACGGTCAATATTGTTCAAATATACTTACCGTGTGGCTGGTGTTTAGCTGTTTGATAAGTGCATTCCAGTTTGACTGGTCGTAGTTTACTCGGTAATAGCCAAACTGTTGGACATTTCCCAGGAACCATTCGCCAACTTTGATCTCATGTCCAGTAATGTGTACCTCTAAAATTATATATTCAAATGCACCATGAAGATATATGTCAATTAATTTGAATAGAAAAATACCATATTGTATCACCAGTAAATAATATTAGTTTGTAAACGTAATGTTTTATAAGAACATTGTTAATTAGGTCATATTATCATCCTGTGTTTGTTGCAAGTTGTTAATAGGAAACACAATCGTTGATGTAATGAAAAAAACATAAGATGACATCAACATTGAGGTTTTACTTATTAATATATCAATACACTGCACAATTATTAACATGGAAATCTACATACGAGCCTGTTTGTCGTTAAACCACAGGACGTCGGTACTAGACTGGTTAAAGTTTGGATTGGCCTTGTTAGTCACTGTCAGTGGTATCTTCCACTTGTAGCTGAAACGACAATATGATACTGTCATCGTGTTTATATATTTTTAAGACACTCAACTTTAGTACATAATCTAGCTTCAACAGGTCATCGCATTGATTAATTGGCACATTGAACATATCCACGTCAAAAACAAAAAAAATATGTATTGCAATATTTTACAAACGAAAAGAGCCAATAATATAATCACATCAACCAGTACGTTACGAGCTGTACACTGTGAAGTTTAATATTCTTTATCGAACACAATGGCTTGTTTCCGGAAATCTATCCAGATTCTGTCTGATTTTTATTTTTTGAAATTCATCACAGAAAAAAATACCACAGCGTCAACACATAACACTGAAATCGGAAAAGAAAATCATGCAATCATATGTAATATGAATACTACCGTTCAGCATGTGTAGCTCGTTTACAGTGGAGAGATTAAAAATATAATTTTCTTTATGTTAACACTGGATTGTTTCCAGAAAATATATAACCAGCGACGTTCTGACATTATAGACAAATCTACGTGCCAGAACATTATATCAGGAAACTAAACTCTAATACACTTATGATTAGACCAGTCAATACATGAGATACCTGAAGAAGGCATAATTGCGTTAAGGAACCAAGAAAAGCGTTCGTACTTAAAAGGAGAAATAAATCTCATGGGATCGGTGGCGTTGGGGCTGGTCAGGAATCGCTTCTGGGACACGGCGATTGCCGTATTGTTCACTCTACTCATGGTAACTACGGGGTAGTTCATCTGGAGCGTCCATGTGTCCATAATATCCTTGACCGCTGACCCCAGCGAGGATACCTATATAAAACAAAGTTAACAAGGAATATATGAAGCTCATCAACTATATAATATGTTAGGATAATTATGAACAACACATTTAGAACATAATACTAACTTACCATGTAAAATATGTTAAGATATTTTTATAAAACAAATTAAAAATTGATATTTATTAGACATGAGAAATATAGGGATATCTTTGAACAACAAAAATAAACGATAATATTAACTTATCAATTCACATGTCAGGATTCCAATATTCAACAAAATTACCAGATAATATACATGTAATTTGTGAGGATAATTATACACAAGGAAACACTAAAAATACTAGCAGGCTAATTAACCATATCATACGTGTCACCTATATAATAAAGTAAACTTTTTCTTAAACCAAATTAAACAATTGCTTTGAAAAAAGGCTAGCTTATCATTACATGTCAAAATGGTTAGGAAGGAGAAAGAACTGCAAGAGCGCAATTCGGTATGAGGACGGATGGGTAGTGGACAGTGACTCGCCTTTCACCAAGACGTTCGGAGTTTGATTCCCCGATCAGACGTGAAAAGGTTAAGGGTCACCCGACAACGTAGGTTGGTTCTCCATTTCTCTCCAACATTAAGAACCTCCCCCAAACAAATATTTTTCACATTTACAGCATGATAATGCTACTTACGTTCGCCATTGACATCCATAGATCGTCATGTACAGCATTTTGATATATTCTACTGTTTAAGTACCTCTGTGAACAATAGAAATAAATACAAATTGCCTTATACAGGAAAGCCTTATAAAGAACATATGAAATACAGATACAACGAAAAACAACTTAAGCAGTAAAAACCTCCAGAAAAATGACGAACACATATCACAAAATGAGTATTTCCGTAGAAGATCGAGCTGCGATTTTTGTATGGTATGGGATATACAACTCAAAATTTGCTGCATTTGAAAAAGTAGGTACCATTTAAAGAAACTATATTAATTAAACTTTATAAAAATGACAGGTGTATAAATAAAGAGACACTTCTGCACATTTTATTACCATGTCTAGGACGCTAAATATGTGTTAATTGAATTAACAGAGCCTTACAGTTTTATTACTGATGCTTATGATATGAGCATATCTGTCTATTTCATTTTATACCTGCAGCTTTTATTCGACTGACATCAACATCATGAACAGCATTGTTAATGTGGTATCCTTATGACTGTTTCATTTCTACCAAGGCACCCTGATATATGTAGAAAATAAGCCTGTAAAGGGGAGTTACTGTGAAGGGTGAAAGTTGCTAGTTTTGAAGTCGTTTTATCTTTTTTTTCTTTACTTTCCTACGTCACATGAACATTTAATATTTTTTAATATATTGTTTATGTATATTTATCCTGATTGTTACCTGTATCCCCTTTTGGAAGACATCGTCACCGACAAAGAACTTCATCATTCGTATTATGCTGGCTCCCTGTAAAACACAACAACATAAAGGCCTTCATTTAAATAAAATTGACCTCTAGCTATTTTAACAAAACACAACAACATAAACAATCACAAACTTTAAAGGTTTTCCGCCTATTAATACTTGTTGAATCATCTTAATAACAATGACATCTATCTGTTTTTATTAATATCAATTTGGAAGTGTCAGTAACGACTTAGATAATTTATTTCTATACTGTATATACAGCGAATTATACACACATTCATTTTATAAAGTTACTTCATGTAGCAATTTTTAGTTCTGTTTTTGCCCTTGCGCATTGGCGCTTTGATTTGTGTTTGAGTGTTCGTTGCGCTGTGGTAAATGTTTGTGTTCAAGTGTTGCCGCTGTGGTTTATTCTCCTCGTCTTCAACAGGGTATTCTGTGTTGAGTCTGTTGTTAATGATGTATTGTATACTTTGTTTGTGTTTGTTAATGTAGTGGTACTTTTGCCCCTGTAGACCAACGCTGTGGTAAACATTGTACTTTGTTTATCGAACTCAAGTACTTTTCCCCATTTCAGTTCACAATACTTTTCCTACTTTTGATACTTAATCGTTTATAGGAAAGTCTAGTATTAAACACTAATACATAGGGCTATACAGAACAATATATATGATATGACGTACCTTTGTTAACTAAATAGAGTTTACATACAAGTAACTATATTTGATGACGTACCTTTGAATACGATATAGAATCAAACACTTCTCTTATTTGAGTTGGATTGTAAACAGCTGCAAACATCGGATGTGACGTCACGAGCGCGTCGGATTCAAAGGCGTCTTGAAGTTCATCGACAGCAAAAATTTCAAACTGTAAAGGAATCAAGAAACACTTTTATTTTACCTGTATGCAAGGTCAGTGTAAGTTACAATTTCAAGTCAGAAAATATCATGATAAACATCTCGATAATAGTCCTGGTTTGAAAATAGGCCGACTTTGAAAGTAAGCCTTGGATACATTTCAGGTAAATATATATCGTTAAAAACCGGCCCTGAACTCAGGTAGGAATCTTATTTGCCCTGTCGACCTAAACAGGTTTCACAGGTAAATCAAAATAATTCATGATTTTTTTAAAGATATCTAACAATAATTACAATGTATCAATCCATCAGCTGTTTTCAACTAACTAAACAACTAATTTGTATCAGATCATTACATTTATACATGGATATGCATACATACCCAGAAACTAACTAGTGAACAAACCATCGATATAGGTTTTTAATAAGTTTGGTTTAATCTTTTTTAGACGCAGGTCAACACTAAAAACCTAGTACATGTTTAACGACGTACATATTTCCAGTCGGGAAATTTATGGTCGGCTCCAAAGTATTCCACAAAGGTCGCGAACCCTTCATTGAGCCAGAGGTCATCCCACCAATCCAAGGTCACCAGGTTTCCAAACCACTGAAATAGAACAATGTATGTTCGTGTGAGACTACTTTTTCTTACATTTACAAAAAAAATCCCAGTTACTAACGTAAGCCTGAAAAACATATAAGTCTGTCAGAACTTGAAAAATGGATAGAACAAATGTTTAGTCTATTCTAACCTCCAGTTCATATCTGATAAATTGACTTCTCTCGTTTAACGCATGCAAAATGCAATTTTAATGTCATATTCAAGCATTTAGAATATAACGATAATGTATATATATTACAAATACGACCTGCATGGTCTGTATATACTGGAACATACTGTAGGACCTTATATTAAACATGATGGTGTGCATTGCCCAATTCTTTACGATCTAGTTTATTTTTTACCCGATCAAAAATTTTGAGTTACTTCATGTCGTACAAATTATTGTGTACATTACTTTTTCGTTATAGACTTTTGGAAACTTAGACTTAATGGTGAACTTAAAATTCTAAAATGGAATCTTGATATAATCTATAAAAAAAACCATTATGGTAATATTCCGTGAGGCTTTTGACAAGAGTCCAAATGCGGGAACTAGTAATTCACAAAAGTTGGTAATAAATACCAAACTTGCATGCTTGCTATATGTATGATTTTCAGGTAATCAAATTTAACTGACATGCATGTGGACTATTATAAGTAGATGTAATGACGTATTACCTGGTGAGCAAGCTCGTGCGTGATAACGGTGGTGACGCGTTGTTTGTTGGACTCTGACGACACGCCTGGTTCATACAACATGGCTGTCTCCCTGTACGTAATTAGTCCCCAGTTCTCCATGGCACCGGCCGCGAAATCAGGGATGGCGATCATATCTAGAAATATTTAGAATGAAAAGTAATGGATGACAATCATTTCTACCAATATCAACAGACAAGAGTCAAATATGGCGCTCAAGTCTCCTAACAAAAAAGCAGTGAAAGAATGAAAGGAATGGCTATCATTTCTCCAGAACAAATCTTTTTTTATTGAGGAGGCACTATTTTTCCAAATTATATCTTTTGCGTAATAAGCTATAAATTTATACAAGAAAACTGGCAAAATATATTCTGATTAATAAGACAATATATGATTAGGTTGTGTTATCAAATAAAATCATGTTTATTCTTTCCGACAATATTTTGGTTTTATTTCTAGATTATACGGTATAAAAGATCTTTGTTTACGTGTAGTAAAGTTACAACATAACTAAAGGGTAAGGGTTAGGGTTAGGTTATGTTGCTAACTGACCAAGCCCTGAAACGTTCCTTATTTTTATACAAGTTTTGAATACATAATCAGTGAGGGGGGTTTATTTTATTTGAGTTAATATGGTTTCAAAAAATCATTCTTCACATTGTACATTTACAACGTAGGTATCAGGGTTAGGGCTAGGCTATGTTGCAAACTGATTTTTTTTTTGCAATACCAGAAACTAGTTTTATTTCTCATTCATACCTTGTTTGGGAAGTGGGAACCTGATTCCAAAGAAATCTTCGTATAAATTCAACGTTGAGATTCCAACGTCCAGAGCGAAACTAGCCTGGTTAATTTTCTCTGGAGTGGCCCAGGCATTATACTGTAACATTTAAATGTAGAAAGAATCTTATTACAACTGAACAAAATTATAATTGTGATAATCATTAGTTTGGAATTAAATCTACGAAAACCCAAATATCACTAGATTTATGATAAACAAATTCGAATGATATAATCCCACATCCAAAACGATTAATTAGAGGAAAACGAAACAGAGAAAGAAAATAAAAATAAAAATAAAAAATGTTATGTTTAATAACTCAAAGACGGATACAAATATTATTGACATCAAGTTCTGTACATGATGTGCATTTTAAATACGTCGCGTCCTTTTATGGTTAAAGAGATATTCAATTAACCGATTAATTCGATTTTCTTTCTCATCTTACCGTGACGTTGTTCTTAGTGACATTAGAAGTACTTTGGAAATCACAAACAATCATAGCGACCAGGTAGGTAGACATAACGGGGGATTCCTGGTACACATCAGCAACATAGCCATCTCTCCTAGAAAACAAAGTTTATCAATATATTATTATACGTTATCTATTCAATAGCAACCAACAAGAGCCATCTCTCCTAAAAAGGATGATAATAATAATGATATTATGTACAACTATATTCATCTAAAAACCAGCTGTGCGTCACATATTCAACTTTCCTGAAAACAATGCTCATGAAACTGATATATAGAAGTTCCCTATCGAGCGATGGTTGGCAATCATGTTTATCGTCCTCCGGCTAGATAATTGTCAAACTGTAAGAAACACTCGGTAAACCTCGTACCTTTATATAATCTGAGAATTTACTAAATAGAGCTAGATAAACATGAATACATTAGTCGTGTTCCGATTAAGGAAACAACTGCAATTACCCTCTGACGTAACAGTAGAAAAATACGAAAAAGTTTTCTTGAAGTCATAATTTGAAGATTGACGGATGTAATAACGTCAATGCTGATAACCAAAAAAGGTTTACCAGCTCCTTACAAGTTTGTCCGACGAGTGTGGAGTGAGGAAACATATAGTGGTTGTAGAAGAAATAAGTACAACCATCAGTCACATATCCCTCTCTCCTAAATAAGGCAATATAGTAGTATTCTTAATTCCTACAACCACAATCAGCCATACCTCCATCTGTCCTAAAAGCAAAGTTTATAAAAATAATATAGAAGTATACCTAATTCTTATTAGCAACCACAAGCAACAATCCCGCCTGTTATTTATAGAAGGTTTTCTAAAGGAATGCATTAGTATATATAAACCATACAGCAGCGTTTTGGTTTAAATCATATTGATACCATGACTTTAAATAGGCCACATTAAACACTCATAATAGAAAAAGACTCCGTTACTGTATGATGTAACAAAGATAGGATATCAAAGACAAAGACATAACCTATGTTGTTCACCATTTACGTTTGACAATAAGGAAATACCAGTCCCAACATATTTGGAGAAGACCAAAACATCTCTGCAATGTTAATATCAGCAAAGGCAGGTCTACATATGCAGTCTCTCAAATCAAACTTATATATTGTCTGAGGGGGGTAACTTTTGCTTTTAGTTCATTCTTCAAAAGCCCAGGGTTGTAGCTTCGAGAAAATTGTGTAACCTGTCGACATGACTTAATATCAAGCAGTTATATAAAGTTGATTTAGAAAATTCAGACGATGAAAGTGGTCCAACAAAAAAATACTGATAACATACATGTTCAAGCGGTAGCGTTATTTTAGTGCTTTTAATGCTGTAAATTAATATTGTATTAATTGAAAATTCTGTAGAAGTATTTCCACTATATATTTTGAGACATTCGCTAAAATCGTTTCTACTTTGCTTTAACCTTTACAAGTAACATGTGTTAATCTATATGACATGAATGTGTTACAAAAGTTTTTACACCACAGGTTACAAAAATGTCATCCGCTATTCAAAGACAAATAAAGCGACAGTAATGAAACTTATATGCACATAATTTTCGTGAAGGGAACGATTTTATTGTCTCATGACAACGCACCCTGACGTGTTTTAAATCGTTTGGTTTTTCCTAGTGTATGAGTATTTTTATTCCGTTTTCCTCCACCAATGAAATTACACGAAGCGCACTTGAGGTTTAACAAAGTTCTGTGTTACTGTACAATTATATAGATAGCTGACATCAAAAAAACACATTTAATCTTATATCTCTAATTAAAAAATCCTTTCATAATGTGAAAATAGTTGAACCAACTCACCAAGCATTTCCCTTGGTTTCCACCGGCATATTTGATAACGAAACAAGTGCCGGTTTCCTTACTAAAGTTATTTTGAACTTTGCTTTCATATTGGGCTCGTCAAAACAGGGAAAAGCTTTTCTGGCATGTGTGGGTTCCATCTTAGTGGTAGCCATGTATCTGGTGAAAAGATAGACAACGAAAACAGATTGAAACGGAAACAAAAAAACGTTACTATCTCCATATAAGCAAATGAGTAATCAGAAATACCTACCAATGACATGATAGTCACACATACCAGATATGACCAAAATTATACAATATCTTAACTTAAACTATTCAGAAGAAAATTCACTGCCGCAATTTTGATCAATGACTAACCAGAAGTCTAAGTAGAGTTTTTAATGCCATATTATTACTAAGTATTAAAATTTGAAGAACAAAAAATCAAACTTTATCTTAATTTCGACCAAAAAAAGGACATTATACAGTGACCATTTTATCCAAAAAAGTCAATTGTTTTTCTAATCGAGATAATCATGTTAACATCACTTTCAACAACTTTCATTACAATCTACAAAATAGAACCAAATATATGGTCAAATATAGCTCAGCCAATCAGAGGCCGCGGCGGACTTGTTTATTGATTAATCGAAAAACGAAACACGTTGCGCACATTAACACATGCCTACAAACGCTCATTAGAAGTTTCATGAAGATCTGATCTTTCTCGGAAAATGTCAAAAGCAAATCTGAAATTGCCGTTAAATAATTTATTTACTCGTTAACGACTTTGAAAACTGATTCCTGCAGCACGAGTCATCATCAGTATTAGAATTTTGATTTCTGCTTTTGGAATTTACATAATTCAACAATCTCTGACAAAAGACATAAACTTACATTGTTTTATTTCCATGTTGATATGAACTATAGTACATTCCAACCATGTTGTCTCCTAATTGTCCACTAAACGACATACTCAGCGTATAGTTCCGACCAGCAGTCAAATACCCCGACAGATGTAAAATGACGAATTGTCTGTCGTTGTCCTGAGATACTTTCGACACAGTTACTTCACCACCAGTTTTGTCAGCAAGTCGAATAGTCTGTTCATCAATGTCTAAGTTCACCGCGTGCAGTGTGATATTGTTTGTCCGCTCCACACACCTCACATACATAGTTATGTTACCGTTGAAGGTGAATTGCGCCGGGTCTGCTTCATAAAAGTTAGGGAACATCTGGAGCTCGTAAGAGGATGGAAGGACAGATCGTGGAAGTCTGACGTCCGTCAATACTTTAGACAGCGTGTTGCCTTTATTGTCACCAAGCCAGGAGCGAATCGTCTCCATGTTTTTCTTTATCCATTGAATGTTAGATCCCGTCTTTTCTAAGGCCTGTTCATAAGCCCGGGTTCCCGAGCCCATGTCTGGATTTTCAGTTTTGAAATCTACGAGCTGAAAAAACAATATCACTATTCCCTGAATAACAGATATCTCCATCGTACCGACTTCGTCTTTAATAACTTATATTTGATAAGTCACTACGATCAATGCGTTACATATTTTTTTAAAGCTCTCTTATTCTTAAGCTAAAGGTTTTTTGATGGGTTGTCACTTTCCTTTTTCAACTTAACTAGTTTTCAATGACAAAACATAACAGAGTTTATATGTGGTATACGTATAATCAATGACAAGAACAGACGATGAAAATGAAAGTTTTAACCAGAAAACGTTAGGGTATTCTCTGCCAATCGAACCACGTTTCTATCAATTTCTATCAATATTGACAGTAAAATTAATTATAACCAATTCCTATTTACCGTTCACGAATTAAAAATGATTATAAAAGGTATCCATCTAACAAAAAATGTTAAAATAAGAAATTCACTAGCTTTAGACAGAATACACCGCACTTCTACGTCTCAAGAATGTAAACGTCTTCATTAAGAATTCCATACAAGCAATATTAATCGATTATTTGAGGAAAATAGAGTTGATGAAAATACATTTAGAACAGTGTTTCTTTCTTGTTTTCTTTCGTTGTGTTCCTTAAATCAATATTACAAAGCACACATCTTAAACACCAGATCATCAAAACCTTCAACACATTCGGACTTGTCAACTTACTTGCTGCAAGTCATACTCGGTATTAAAGGAGCTTGTTACCCCAGAAATAAGGCTTGCAAACGAAAACGATCCTCCTCCAAATCTAAAATAAAACCGTACAGCATTTAGGGCTCTCACAACTAATTAATTTGCTATATGTTATTACCAAGCTTTTGAGCTAATAGCGTTACTATTTAAAGTTCAACACCAGTGACAACTGTCTAGATTCATAGATACATAACTGACAAAGGATTCAAAATGCGTTTTGTGGTGAGTTTGGTGGCATATAAGAGCATTACAGGCGTCTGCCTTTGACAACCGGAAGTTTACAAGACAAACCGGTGAAATGGGACGGGAACACCCCATGACATTTGACCCCATATCAATCCGCCATCACATTTTTAAATCTACTAAAACTATACATTTTTTTTAAAGTTCAATATCTGTAGATTTCATTCAATGCAAAATATGTCAACAATTGCCTATTTAAGTTACTCAGAGGCACTGTATAAACCCGGAACAAATGTAAGATAGGGATTACAATCGTGTGAGACACTTGCTGATTGGCTGATTTAGTTGTGTGAGTCCTTTAAAAATATATCACTGATGTATTGTACAATATACTACCGCTACATGTACGTTTATAACTACTGTCTAGATCCGTATTTCAAAAATTGACAAATAATATCTAAAAAAGCTACGTACTCAGTCATTAGAGTGTCCCACTTGTCCCTAACAAAGTTCCAGGCGATGTCTCGACCAATCGAGTGATGGGACACGTAAATGATGACATAACTGGCGTCCTGTTTTCTGACCTCGGCTGAATCCAAACTCATGTCGAGATATCTATTGAAGGAAATAAGTTGAGGATTAACTTTTAAAGTAAATCAAATAGATAGATATGATTTATACAGGAGACATACAGTATATATTTTTCTCTTTTTGATTTATTTTGTATTTGTCTTTTTCATTGTTTTCGTTTATTCTAAGTTATCAAATTTTTCAACATTAAACTAATAGTAGAATTATATCAATAACATATCTTCGATAAGATTTATCAGTTTGGACATATTCGATATCAAAGTTTTACTTTCTACACAAACAAAATACGTATTAAACATATCGCAATGTTTCAAGACCGACTTGACCCTTTGTCATGACTGAGTGATCGATTTGTATATTTTACCTGTACAACGATGTGACGAAGTTGTATATTTTACCTGTACAATGATGTGACGAAGTTGTATATTTTACCTGTACAACGATGTGACGAAGTTTTATATTTTACCTGTACAGCGATGTGACGAAGTTGTATATTTTACCTGTACAACGATGTGACGAAGTTATATATTTTACCTGTACAACGATGTGATGAAGTTGTAAATTTTTAATGTCACCGACCCGGGACGTACATTGTTTTTGTAGAAAGTAAAACTTATTATATCAATACCATGTTTATATATTTTGGTCTTACGTCTTTCTAATCATTTCGTTTATCAGCTGATAATTACATTAGACCATACATTATTTTTCCACCCCAATTGTAAAAAAAAATGTTTTATGAACTTTTTTTAACATTGACATGTTTTGTTTACTCCAAATATAACATGCATGTCCCATTTAAAGGATGTTTTTAAGTCACATAAAAATTACAAACATAGAGACGACGAAAAACAAGCATGACAACTAAACTGACTTTCTGAGTATCCAAGGTTCCTTGGAACACGACAGTGAGTAGAGGATGCGTTTCTTCTCGGCGGCGTTGTTGCTTGTCTTGTACTGACTGTAGAGGAAATCCCACTCCAGTGCCCCGCCCTCCGCGATACCCGCACAGTACACAGCCTGTTTTACGTCAGGGTCTATCCTGCAAATTCATAAGGCAATCATAAATATCAAAAATACTTAAAGAACAAATATCTGAAGATCTTAAGAAAGCAATATCACTCCTGTATATGACTACTAGTCAAAGTTATTCATTTCTTTTTTCAAAGTTTATTTTTTTGAAAATAGGTTTTTTCCTGTGACAACTCGAGTAATCGGTATACATGTACAGGGGGAACTACGTTAGTAATAATGATAGTATACTGACTTCTGGTATCGTAAATAGAAGTTGAGGATCGATATAAATAAGATAAGAAATAAAAAATAATAATGATTTGACGCAAATATAAAAGAACCGATAAACAAAACAATTGTAGACTCAATTTGAAATACCAATTTCATTTCAGGACATTTATTGTTCCGATCTTTAATACGAACGAATTGGGCAACAGGTAAGGCCCTCTCTTTACAGTAATAAACAGTTACACACGTAATAGTGTAGTAAAGAGAAAACATATGTATGCATTACATATGATAAGCTTATTGCATGTTAATGAAAAATTGGTAATTGTTGATACGGAAACTAGATTAAACAAACATAAGTCAAATGTGCTGGTGGACAGAACATACTTAACGTACAATTCTGTGCTGATGGACAGCACATACTTAACGTACAATTCTGTGCTGGTGGACAGTAATACTTAACGTACAGTTCTGTGATGGTGGACAGTACATAATTAATGTACAATTCTGTACTGGTGGACAGCACATACTTAACGTACAATTCTGTGCTGGTGGACAGCACATACTTAATGTACAATTCTGTGTTGGTGGACAGTACATTCTTAACGTACAATTCTGTGTTGGTGGACAGTTATACTTAACGCACGATTCTGTGTTGGTGGACAGTTATACTTAACGTACAATTCTGTGTTGGTGGACAGTACATACTTAACGTACAATTCTGTGCTGGTGGACAGAACATACTTAACGTACGATTCTGTTCTGGTGGACAGTACATACTTAACGTACAATTCTGTTCTGGTGGAGAGTACATACTTAACGTACAATTCTGTGCTGGTGGAGAGTACATACTTAACGTACAATTCTGTGCTGGTGGAGAGCACATACTTAACGTACAATTCTGTGCTGGTGGAGAGTACATACTTAACGTACAATTCTGTGCTGGTGGACAGCACATACTTAACATACAATTCTGTGCTAGTGGACAGTACATACTTAACGTACAATTCTGTGCTGGTGGACAGTACATACTTAACGTACATTTCTGTGCTGGTGGACAGTACATACTTAATGTACAATTCTGTGCTGAAATACCAATTGAGTGTATTTACTTGTTATTGCCGGGGTCGACCATCCATTCTTGGAACATGTTTGTAGCCGTCTCCACACATTCTTCGATACCGTACCCACACGCCTGACTCGACATCGAGATACGCAACATCCTGTTACATGATCACAACGACAACCATGACTATATTATTAGACATTATCAGTCATATTAGGTTATTATGTCATGTTTTTATAAAAATTATACATCATAATGATTCAAGTTCAGATGAAAAAGAATATTTTGTAGCTGTCGAAAACATTAAATATTGAACTGTATATGCAATTGAAATATAAATATATCGATGACATATTGATGTATGTTTTATTGTTATATACGTAAACAGCTAAATATGTATTTGTTTTGTTATACATTCTTATACATGTTGACTGTTTTTATAAAGCATCGCATTCATGAATTTTGATAAAAACCATATCGAATTATGCGATTGAAAACAATCTTATATAGTTTAATATTTCTTCTGTCAACATTCAATATTTAATTCCGTGTGTATAATTCAACATAAAAAAGTAAAGCCGGTATATAAAACTAGCTACATCTACCTTTCAAGATGTCCGTCAGTGTCTTTCTTGTGTAATCCTACACTTTCAAACGGTTTGGCGATCAGGTTTCGAATAACTGTAGTAAAATCTCCGTACACCTCTGTCCTCATTAGCATCTCATCAGCATACCCGAGCTGGGCGAGAGCAGCATACCAGGGGACGTAATCCAGTTCTTCCGTCAGGTAGTCAATCATATCCAAAGCGATTTGTAAGGATAATTCCCCGGAACTGTAACGCATAGCATTGACTTTCTTAGTAACTGAAGTTAACAACAGCACCTGTTGTAAATTATGTTGTTGTTTACTCTTCTTTGTCTTTTAACAAAGAACTTCAATTGTATTATTTCATGGAAATAAATTGATATTGAAAAATACCATCTCGACTAAATCCGAAATCAATAAATGTCCGTAAGCAAAGCAATCGTTAGATGGAAAATACCAGCAAGACAACTAAATAGCTCATAGTTTTAGGCTAGAATAGAAAATATCAGCGCCCATTGTTAAACGTAACAGAAAATCATACATTTGGCAACGGGTAATCCCTTTTATCATTTATTTGTTTTGAAGTAATTAGATATCGACCTCGTTATAATTAATCATATTATATGTTTTCAGTTTGGAATAAGCTTACTTAATTAGCTTTAATTTCTAACCAATTATCAGTCGTTAAGGGCCCTCTATATATCATGTGTGAGGTACCAAACTTCACTGTGCATTTCTAATGTAAAACTACTTACTTTGCCAGATTCCAGGCATCATTGATAAGTTGTCCTCTGTTGATGGTGTGAATAATCTGTTGAGTACAATGGTATAGGTATTGATTTTGTTCATATAATTAGGAAAACCAATAGCAGAAAATGTTTACAAACTCCTAATTCGAACTCAAAATCGACAAATCTATGGCAAATATGGATAAAAGAAAAGAAATACATGGAGACAATTGAAATAGTATAATGATACTATGAGCAGGCTTCATCATCGGTACCTACCATGTAATCTAGGTCACGATCCAAGTAATGTTACGCCCTCAAAGTGACAAAAGGACTAATGCCACTAGGTTCCCAGTGCGATATTTAAAGATTCAGTCATGTGAAATTCTTTTACAAAGCATATGATTGAATTAATATTATTTCAATTATCTCGAAATTGATATCACTTTTCTCTTGATTTATTTCACCATTCTTCTGTTCAGCAGTTCATATGTTACTGACCAAGCAGATTGCAAAACATCTAACAAAAGACTTATTAGTTTCTAATATATTGATAAAGAGAACAAATTAATACATTTTGACATTTTAGCAGCCTAATAGTACCTTGTGATCTGTCTTTAGTTGATTCGTTAATGCAACCCAGTTGTCGCTATCATAATTCACTCGGTAAAATCCGAACTGCTGGACGTTCGCTAAAAACCAGTCACCATCTTGCATGGGTTTCCTCAGCGTTATATCTGAGTGAGAAATGAGACATTGTATACAAATTATCGGCCTTATGTATAAGTTGCCTTTGTTTACAGAACATATCGAAATTTCATAGCATCACCTGTTTTCATGAAAAAGAGTGATATAATTCTAAATTTTCATAATATTGATATTTATTGAGCTAAATGAAAACAAGCAACAGTGTCAATAAAAGCATAGTTCGAACTCTACGATAACACTACGGCAAAAGGAAAAAAGGCAATATTAACATGGATGACATTGAAAAAGCGCAATGATAGTAAGACCATGTGTTCCGGAGGGATTAACGTCTTCCGCTTCAACAACGATATCCATCATATAAGTCTAGATTAAATCCAGGTCATGTAGCGTCCTCATATGGAGGATTCGGGTGATGACAAGAAATCCAGAAAGCTCTCTAATTAGCATAATCAGAACATCACATCAACCGTCCTATCACATTAAGAAATGTAATCTGTCCCTACGGGAGTATGATGGCAACCATATTACTTATGTGGCTTAGTAAACACGACAGATATAACAAAAAAATATAACGAATAGAACAAATATATCACTGAAAAGTTTCATTTAGCAGGAATGTTAGGTATATTTTCAAAATTCATCGAGTCACTGTTATGTAAAACAATGTGAACAACATCACTAATGTCACCAGTGACCAAGCTGGCAGAATGTCAGCGAAACTGTCTGAGTAAGAACATCGTTATATCGTTTTTGCATTGCAGTGACTCGATGAAGGTTACAAATATAGATCTTATACAATATGATCTTTCAATGCATTCTTTTATAAAGACAGCACGTTCTCACCATCAACTTTGTTGTTGTGCCAGTATACATCCACACTTGTCTGGTTGAAATTAACGTCAGATTTGAAGGTAATAGTAGTTGGAATCATCCAAGTGTAGCTGTGGATATAATAATATAATAGTAATAATATACGACATTTATATAACGCCATATATAATTTGTAAAATTACTCTTAAATGCTTCACAACATATGGATACAAGAATTAGTTATAATTGTTAAACAAAAAGGGCGTACAATCACCATCATACATTAAGCAAGAGGATAATCATCGCAATGTGCACATAAATGAATAAATAAAGGTTGGTATGTACATGACATCTCTGCAAAGAGCCTAAAATGCAGACGTGACGAGGCGAGTTTATATGTCCTGGATAGGAAATCAATGCCTACATAAAGACCATGCTAAGGTCATTTTACAGTGAAGACTTAGGATACATGTTATGTCTGCTGAGATAAATGCCTCGGTGAAAGTACATTATTCATCTGTACTATTTTTGGTTCATCAAAATATTGTCAGGTTAGTGTAAAATAAATTATTCTAAATGTAATTTAGAAAAATATATGTTTGAATTTATTGTTTAGAAAGCATGCATTTCTCTACTAGGGGTGACGTATGAAGGAGATATCACTCGGGAAAGAACAGCTTGCACTTACTTGTAAGGGGAGACAAATCTACCCGGGTCTACGGCGTTAGGATTAGTGAGGTAGCGTTTCTGGGTGGCTCGTATGTTAGTGTTGCTGACTTTACTGAGGGTCACAACAGGGTAGTTCATTTGTAGGATCCACGTATTCATGATGTTTTTCACCTCCAGGACGCGACTCTCATTTTTTATTTGCTAAAATTATAAATAGATTCATACTTCATTTCTAAAAGGAAAATATACCAAGGTAGTTTTATAGTCAAATTTGTTGAAGAAACAGCCTTTATATCAGGAAAGCATTACCATAAACTGAACATTTAAAAAAAGAAATATCAAGGCGAAAATAGAACAAAGACACAGTCCTAATCCAATTGATATCTAAATCTAAAAATGATATTAACTTTAGGAATAACTCTGATAGAGCTGTTTACTTACGACCTATGCATAATTAAAAAAATCCTTTCTCTTGATATATGTTTTGATCCAATAATCCAACAAATCATTCGCAGTATTCTTACCTCCTCCATTGCGGCCCATAGGTCATTGTGATCAGCGTTCTTGAATTCTCTCTGCTTCAAATACCTCTGAAGTATGGATACAATATCACATTACCTCAAGTTATAAAATACATGACATGGTGGCCCCCGTATTCTATTTTAGTGAGTGTTAATTCAGACTAATACGATTGATAACAAATGTAGCTCAAGTAATGCAATTAGTTGACTTTTCATTCCCCTTTCACCACTGTAGACCATAATGGACTCACCTAAATCAATGCACGGTAGAGTCTACTAAAGTTGCATAGGGGTGAAAGGGATAAAGAAGAAATGGATATAAAAGAGGCAATTTGATATGTTGATACAGTTTGTTAACTTAACGATAACTTGTTCTTTTTTTGTACATAATTATTTACTCTGGGACATTTTTTCAAAAAACATGTACACATTTTTACACCATTATACTTTTGTATTTTTAATCCAAATGGGAGAACGCTTTATAAACATAAAGTAACAAAAATCTACCTGAATTCCAAGCTGAAACGTTTTGTCACCACAGAAAAACCGCATCATTCTGATAACGCTGGCTCCCTGAGGAATAAAATTGATTTACTTTCTCATAACAGAATTTTTACTTTAACAGTCCCCATTCACAGCATATCCTTAAACATGGTATATGTCGAAAGTCGTTATATTATCTTGATAGTGTTACATTCAAGGGTTTTATATCTGTTCTTATGTTTCGTAGTCAATATCCTGAAATATTTGCGACGAGATGTTTTGTAATAGGTAGAAAAAGGAAGCATGTATTTTGGTATCTTACCTTAGAGTACGAGATAGTGTCGAAAACTTCATTGATCTGGTCCGGGTTTGCTACTGATGCAAAAAGTGGATGTGACGTCAGAAGAGCATCGAAATCAAATGCATCCTGGACTTGTTCAATGGTAAAGATATCAAACTGCCAAAGAGGAAAGGAAAATTGTATGTATAAAGCAAATACGTTATGAATGGTAACACAAAGAACAACAATTAAAAAATAAAAAAATGTTATCGACTAACTTCTCTATGATGTAATGTTTAGTCCTATACATTCTTATATGTCACTATTCAGCAGTATAATCATACTCCTTGTTACAAAGAGCATATTATATAACATTACAAGCAAATATCCAATGTCACCTTCGGATATATCTATTTGCGACACGTTGAACGTACGTAAGTCCAGTCCGGGAATTTATTGTCGGCTCCAAAGTATTCCACAAAGGTCGCGAACCCTTCATTGAGCCAGAGGTCATCCCACCAATCCAATGTCACCAGGTTTCCAAACCACTATCAACATAAATTATGTATTTCAATACCGATATTTCATTATCTAGAAGAGATATTTAAGACAAAAAGAGTAGTAATTAAGTAGCTTTGACTTGATAATTCACGTGATCTGATGTGCGAGCATGTAGATTGGTAACAACGCCTGTTCAACGTCTCATACATTAATGCTTCCTGACGACGTTAAATTTCTTAACATCTTATCAACGAGCGTAAGATTTATGCAAGTTATTCAAATATATTTTTTGTAAGGCTTTTGCCTGATGAGTTTGATTAAACCTACATCATTGATCTATCTGGAAAGCATGGTTTTCAAGTACACATAATGACGCCTTACCTGGTGAGCGAGCTCGTGCGTGATAACGGTGGTGACGCGTTGTTTGTTGGACTCTGATGACACGCCTGGTTCATATAACATGGCTGTCTCCCTGTACGTAATAAGTCCCCAGTTCTCCATGGCGCCGGCCGCGAAATCAGGGATGGCGATCATTTCTAAACATGAAGTAATATATATATATATATTGTTACATCTCTTACTTGTTTGCTTGATCGAGGTTTAACGTCCACTAGTACCCTGGGAGACACCAACACAAAGAAAAGAACAAAACAAAGGAAAAACAGTAAAACTCCAAGAAAAGAACACAAATAGAAAAACAGTAAAACTCCAAGAAAAGAACACAAGTAAAATGTAACCTCGACGTGATCTGGACTCACAGACACCAAATAGGTATGAGTGTAACTTGACCTTTGGCATCAATGAAATTCGGGAAACAACTTTTATGTGGTACCCAAAACACCATCTAACATATATCACTTGAATAGTTGTCTCTTTAGTACATGTAGTGGTAAACATAAGGTCAATTCTTTCCCCAAACATTTCTTTCTTGTCTAGGAACGTCTTCTGCGTATAACTAGTATATACCCTCTTTCTTAAGAGATAATTTGGTTGGAACAACTTATATTATATACACTTTTACTTACATCAGCTCTCATTTAATGTAAAAATCCAAACGACAAATATTTGCTGTAAGAATGTTCCCTTCTCAGTGTGTATATGCATGTACCGTTGGATCTGAGTGAAGTAGGGGGACGGAGGTTACTAGACTGCGCACGGTTAGTATGTGCTGCACACGCACATACTCAATTATTCCACACTGGCATTGTGCACAATTATTTGAATGAAATATTGTATCTCCTTGCTACTTACACGCTTATTCTTAACCGCCTGTAAAGAGACATTTTGAACATTACGTATACTTATTACTATATACATGTATATACATTTTTTATTAAATCATTTTTGTATTTACCTTGCTTCTTAAGCGGAAACTTGATATCGAAGAACTCCTCGTACAGAGTAATGGTATCAATACCAACTTCAAGGGAGAACCTCGCCTGGTCAATCAGCTCTTTAGGTGCCAGCGCCCCATACTGGAGGTCAATCAGAGATCAGGATGTACATTGTTTCTAGTTTACCAACATTAATCCTTGGTTATATATAACATAACTAAATACTGAAGTAAAATAAATATCCTGAAAAAAATCCTCGGAATGTGCTTAAGTTTTTGCATACTGCTGTTATGAGTATAATAGTTCGCACCTAAACAATGTTTTGCCAGGATAAGCTAATTGAGGAATATTTTCTGTAAACCATTTGGAAATTATTTTGTTGTAGAATGTAAATCTGTACTTGCATACATAAAACAATTCTAGTTGAACTAAGATCTATATAATTCTTTCGTTAAAACATAAACATTTATGAATAAATTACGAAATTTGCAAATAAACCATTTGTTCGCTAAATAGTGCTTACATTATACTTTTTTTTATTTTAGACAATTTCTCGACAAATAGAATAATTCATATATAACCATAACTGTACAAGCATATATTCAATTATCGTGTACTGGACATTTTAGCTATTGCAAAAATTATTATGAATATCATTATTTTCTGTTGTGCCGGTAATGTTGGTTACTTACATATATACCATGTATAGTTGAACCGGAAATATTGGTTACTTATGTATATATCATTTTAGTTGTACCGGTACTTTTGGTTATTTACATAAAGATCATTTGTCGTTATGCCGGTAATATTAGTTACTTAGCAGTAACTTACGTATAAACTATTTTCCAGTGTACCGGTAATATTGGCTACTTATCAGTTGTTTACATATATATCTACATATATGCCATTTTCCGTTACACCATTAATATCGGTTACTTACATTAATTCTATATCATTGTACTATTATTATTTGTTACTAACATAAATATCATTTGTCGTTGTACCGGTAACATAACTTACTACATAACTCTACCTACGTATATACATTGATTTCGTTGTACTATTTATATGTGTTACTTACATAAATACCATTTTTCGTTGTACCATTTATATGAGCAAAGTCACAGACAACGAAGGCTACGAGGTAGGTGGACATGATCGGTGATACATTATAGTGATCGGCTCGAAGGTCACCAGCTCTGAATTAAACAGATGTACACTTTAGGGTTAGAAATGACAATACAACAAAGGAATGCTCAAGTATCGACGATTTTATAATCCGAACTCAAAACTGATTCAACTTCAAAACTTCAAAAATATAAACAAACGAAATTTTGCATGGAGATCCAGAAAATACAAATAAAATTACAGCAGGTGTTCTAAAAGGCTAATCCTTCTCTGCTTTTACGTATATTCCAAGTACAGTGGCGCCCTCAAAGTGAGAGCCGAGATAGAGACAGGGAAACACTGATGCACAATGATAATAATAATAAAAAAAACATCTTCTTTCATATCTCACACCCAACTAGTATTTGATATGGCAACCATAACACTTGCTCATATCACTAACCGTTTTCTTGTTCTCTTATAAAATAAAACAAATAAGACATCAACTTACAAAGACAACAATTAAGAAATTACAAAATTAAAATTAAAATTAAAGCAAATAATTAATACGTTTATTTTCATATCGTTTCTAGAAAAATCCTTAACGTTTGGGAAGTTACCATCGATTGAAGACACGTTGGCAATATCCACTGTACTTAACTAGATTCTTTCATCAAAGGTGGGAAAATTGGAACTTAACAAGAGGGGATACTGAAGTTTCTAAATTCCCGTTTGGTTGGGGAAATAATCAAGTATTTTTTAATCATTCAATTCAAATTACTTTGTCTCCGTTCTTTCGATCTGCATATTTGATAAGGAGATAAATTCAGGTTTTCTGGTGACGGTTATTTTGAATTGTGCTTTCATGTTTGGCTCGTCAAAACAGGGAAACGTCTTCCTGGCATCTGTGGGTTCCAACTGTGTTGTGGCCATGTATCTGTAGTGACAACAAGATCATACAGGATTGTTAACGTATTGATGAAGAATATACTCGCCAATGAAAAAATAGGGCGGCTATAGTTACTAGTGCGTTCTAATATATATAATCAATAACAGATAAATACGTTTAAAAATCATTAACTTTTCTTGTTGTTTACACAAGAAATATTAACCATAATTGTACGTGTCACGTTTCCATTTTACCAAACTTGCGCAGTCGTTCTGTTTTTTTTTAGACAATCTAAATAAAATCGGAGTTGAAAATTATTCGCAAACGGCAATTTCACGTATTCAAATTCAAATTTTATTCAAATTTTGTTAGTTAAAAATAAATTTTTAATATTCTTTTTTTATTAGATTTGTTTGTTTTTGTCATACTTTTTATGCAATGTTGATTGTAAAAATCAGGAACCAGGCGATTTGAGCATTTCATATTAAAAAAAAAAAAGTTTCCATAACAGTTATCTCTAATCCTTACTCTAAATATANCTTCCCCCCACCCCCCAAAAGAAATCCCCAACATATATATATATATAAATCTATATAAATGAACACATACACAAACTTTACAGAACTGCACGCTAACGCAAACTGTGGGCTTTGTTCTGACTCTAGCTTTACTAATTGGCACGCGGTTTGCTTCAAGGAGACCTTTATACATGAAATTACAAACATATACTTACACGGTATTGTTAGCTCGTTGGTATGAACTATAGTATAACCCCACCATATCGTCCTTTAGCCGTCCGCTAAAGCTGATACCAAAAGAGTAATTCCTTCCAGCCAGAAGGTCGCTGTCCAACTCCAGAATCAGAAACTGTCGCTCAAGGTCATAGCTTACTTTAACCACATTTGGGGCTGTATCACCTGCCGTATTCAGCTTGATACTATTTTCATCAATGGTAAGGGAGTGACTATGTAGCGTTATATTGTTGGTAGCCTGTACACAGCTGACATGGATTGACACTTCACCCGTGAATTCGAAATCTTTTGGATCGTTTTTATAGAAGTCGGGGTAGATATCGAGTTCGTATAGATATGGAAGGACCGACCGCGGAAGTCTGACATCCGTTACTTCCAGTTGTTTGTGAGTGTTTTCTTGTAACCACGACCTCACCGTCTCAAAGTTCTGTTTTAGCCACTGGATGTTGGTTTCTGTCTTTTCCACAGCTTGCTCGTAAGCTCGAGTTCCTGATCCCATGTCTGGGTGTTCCACTTTGAAGTTTCGTAACTTAAATGAAAATAAAAATATATGATTAAAGAGTGTTGACTAATCAAATTTCGATTGTTTTTACACATTGACGCTTACTTCGAATACATTCGATTCCGACAATCATTACACTTAAGAAAATAAAGATCAAAAACTAGTAGTCGATTAATTTGATAAATCATGATGTCAAGACAGAACGTTAAACTTTTAACTGAAAAAAGTAAGTAATTTCAGTTTTTCACAGAAAACATTTTATTCTTTGTGATGTCAAAATTCCTGCACTAATTTTTTAGAACGAAACTATTCGATAGCTTTTTATACCAGACTAGTTAAATTCAGCTTTACCGAGGAACATCTCAAGATTTTTGTCGTGAAAAGACTGCTAATATCATTTTTATACCAAGACACTTTGGTATGTATGTATATCTTTTGCGGTCAATATATCTCGTCCCATTTGTGACACCAACTGGCGGTATTTGAACGCAGGTAGATAATTGACATGACATCAGACGCATCTGTGGGATAAAATCGAAGGAAGGTATTCTATACACCAGACGTACCTGTTCTAAGTCGAATTCAGTGTTGAATGAACTTGTTATATCTTTAATTATGTTTGCAAATGAAAACGATCCACCGCCAAACCTGCAAAATAACAAAGTATAAGTATATTGTATCCGTCTCGTTTAATATAACTGGGGCTCAGAACTCATTATATTTATACTCTTGTGAGGATTAATGGTGCTGTTATCAATATAAGATTTATTGGCAGGTTTAATAGATTCAATGAACTGGAAAATAGCAAAGTATAA